ACACACCCTTATCGCGGTCGGTCCCTCAAAGTGCCACAGAAGCAATTACAGAGCATGTGTGAACTTATATTGAGATATGGAATTCAGAGCCATGGCTGTTGGGAAATCAGAGACTCTACAGGTTGTTGAGATGTCTTCATTAGGGACTTTGAGGCAGATTGATTTGTCTTTGTTGTTAGCTTGTTGAACTACTGTTGACCTTCTTCAAAGGAGTTCAATCTGCTGAGTGGTTAACACTGGTTGGTTCTTGGACTATAAGATAAAGTCTTCTGATATCATATGCAAACATTAAATAGGTACACAAGTCTGTTTGGGAGCAAACACTCGTTTGTCATGATAATCTTATGCTAAAGTTGCTTCTAAAATTGCTGCAGTGTTTTGGCTTTCACATTTGTAGTCGATTTAGACGTATTAGTCTTATTATTGACATCTGAGCTAACAGTTTATTAATTATTAAACATAAGAGCGTAATCCGCGTATATCAATGTATTTGGGTCAGCAATCAAAACAACAGTGGGCAGAGAGGGCAAAGATAATCGCAAGCTTGTTTGTGATTCAAGAACGTGCAGGAAGGCAACTTGAGAAGGCGGCAAATCATTGCACAATAGCTCCACCACAACCCATCTACAGCTCAGTTATGGGAAAGAAAACTCCCAAGTGCTTTGATTTGAAAGCGAACCAAATCAAATATAAAAGTGGATTCTGTCCATATGCCAAGTGCATTGAAAAATGCACTGACTCCCTTTGCTGGATTTGAAATAGAAAACCACAGAGTTGCTTCAGTGTTTCTGAGGAAGGGAAGTTGTACTGAAGAACCGGTGGGAAATTGAACTTCAGTCTGCTGCAGTGTATTTTAGGTGAGCTCAATTTTAAGCCAAAAACATCACTGCTTAGTAAGCACTTGGTTGTTGTTTTGTTGGTGAATAATTTGATTGCACATAGCATCTTTTTTTTTTTTTTCATGACAGTGCAGAAAGACCAGGGGTCTCATTTACTCCGTAGTCCGTAGATTTCATCCTAAAAGTGTACGTACACTGAAAAACTAGATTTTGCGTACGCACATCAGATTTATCCAAAATCACCATATATGGAGCTTACAACGCCTAGTTATACTATGCATAACCTCATCTGCATATCATTTCTATGCATATTCCCATCCACGTGACACCATGTTTAACACCGTCAAAGATAAATGACATTAAGGAAATATGAGATACGGACTATAAATGCCATTTGTGCCATACATTAATTTTTATTTCTAAAAATCATCCAATATCCTTGTTATGTTTTAGAATAAATATAGATAAAGATAAAAACAAAAATTAAAACAAAAACTGTTTAAAATAGTTATAAGATAAATATTTTAGAAATAGAGTTGATCTCATTCTTTAACACTGGTCAAATAGTAGCCTATTTCAATTGTTTTAAACAATTCAAATCAATGCACTTCAGTTTAAAGATGAATTATTGTGCACCTATAACACTCCTCGCTGTCAATAAAAGAGGAAAAGTGATCAAGCGCATTTACTACAAAGATGTCTAAATTCATATAATTTTGGTTTAAGTTCTGCGTAATGACTTTATGTAATTTCTGTCCTTATCTCCATATGAGAATGGAATATTTAATGTAAATGTATATATCGACATGAAAACAGAGCTTAAAATTATTGTTTTTACTTCATTAATTTTCTCACTCAAGGAAAAAGAGTTTGTACGCATGGGTCAGAGTTTGCGTGCAGGTGCGCAAATTTTCCCATCAAGTTTGTTTTTATAAATCCCAAATTTTGCGCAGGAAGTAGCGTACGCCTCTTTCAGGGCTGTTTTTGTGCATACGCAACGGTTATAAATGAGGCCCCAGGTCAGGTGTATTTGATGTTACATCACAGAACAGCAGCAGGTGGCGGGATAGTCATCAGCGTTCACTTTAAACTCATTTCCATACACATAGTAAACATTAGGCTTTCCTTTCCACATGTAGTTCACTTTGGTTATGGCAATGAGCTCGATTGTCTGCCTCTGAAACAGATTAAATTACAGAATGACAGATTCAAGATTCAGCATGATGATTGTCTCTAGTTACAGACAGACTGGTAATGATATAGCACAGTTTGTTATTTGTATTGTTTTGTTACATACAAACATACAAATACAAATTATAATTGAAAATTATGAATGATAATAATCAAGTGATAAAAATGACAATATAAAAAGGTCTGGAAGCACATAAACATATGAAGACAGTGGTACCTGTTGTAACATGCGGGACTTTTGGGCGTATTTCACCTGATGGTCTCTTACAAAGCGCTCAGAAGCTTGTGCAACAGAAACATCAGGAAAGCCCCTCACTGGATAGACCTACAGTAAACATAACCATCTGATGAACTTACAAATTTCAACAAACCTTACAAACCTCTCACTATATGTACGGTCTGTTCGTACCATATTCTGGGCGTCTTTGAAGAGCTCCTTCCCTGAAACCTCCTCCAGTTTTTGCCCTCTCAGACCACTTGAATCTTGCGCTACGAATTCATCCTTCTCTATGCTCCTGAAATAGTCCAAAAATAGCTTTTAGAATGAGACAGTTCAGTTTGAAAGACTTCTGATTATCATGAAATAATTAATAATAATGACTTGATTTCTTTTTATTTCAAAGAAACTGTAAATGAGTGCTCTCTTGTGCAAAGAATGACTTCAATGTAAGTCTATGAGTATGATCGTTTAGAAACATAACAGCAAACCTCTCCTCATACTGCAGGATTCATGTATATAGCACAAGAGGAGCTAGTTAATATTGTAATAGCCATGCCTGCCTTAGCAAGCATGAATGTTATATCATATAGATCATACCATTTAACATTGAGGTTGATGAAGACGAGCAGCTGTCTCTTTCCACGGCAGGTGTCACACCGGCAAGAGCCGCTGCCGCTACATGAACTACAGCTGAAAGACACCAGATAAGTCAGAACTCAGAAAATACCAACCAAACCACTGAAGCCCCCTGCAGGATTTCATCAGAATTCAACCCACAGTAGCCACAAAAGTTGTAAAAATACAATAAAGATAAATTAAATTAAAATACAATAAATTCAATAAAAAAATTTGTAAAATAAATATAAATTAAGTAAAGTAAGTCATTTAAGACATTAAAAAAGCATTTTTTTAGTAAGAAACCTGTTTCATAGAAATGTCTCATTATATACAGCTATAAAGGACTTACTTTTCACGTCCGCGCCCATTGCAGTGCGTGCAGCGGTCATCAGAATGACGGTAACCAGAACCATTACACACTCTACAGACTTTCTGCACATGGAAAACAATAGAGGACAAACAGGTCATATATTAGGGTATTTACGTCATATGATGAACTGAATGAAAAAACATTCTGTGGCTTGTGTGCACAATTCCAGTACAATTCAACTTGAATTGCTCTCCAGTCACCACACTTTTAATACTTTTAATACAAGTGCCATATTTTCCTCTGTGAAAACAACTTTGATAGCAATGAAATGCCCGGCATGCAGCTGGTTCGGTCTGTGGTAGTTAAAAATGTACTTACATTTCCAGCTCCAGCACAGGTGGTACAGGGGGTTTTTCCCATTCCCAGACACACGTGACAGTTCTAGGGTGCAAACAGAATATAATGCTCTAAAATATGATCCGACTTACTGAACATAACCATTACCGGCAAGTTTACCTGCTGCAGGAAGCCAAAAAGCATTGGTACTTTAGAGAGTAAAACACTTTGGACCTACAATAATGTACAGTATTTGAAAAATAATGTGTTTTTTTAACATTAAAGTATATCAACATATTCTGTTACACCAAATACACAAAATAATGATCTTTAAAATAGCATCATATGACCCCTTTAAAGAGTTATAAGCCACGAAAGCAAACCAAACCAGCTATGAGGTAAAAATCACAGCATTACAAAGTATTTTGAAAATGCAGAGAGATTATTATATCATCCATAGTGCTTCATCTGAGAGGGTGGGTTTTTTTGGTACAATTTGCTTGTCACAATTTCTTTGCAGAATCATGGGTAATGTAGCTCTTCACCATGAATTCTGGATTTTAACATGATTATTTAAAAAGTAAGTTTGTTAAAATAAGTTTCATAGAAAATAATGCAGGCTGATGGCTTCAACAAAAGCGTGAACCATCGATTAACATAGCTGAGGTTGTCTTTAAAGTCTGTCTTTAAAGGTTTTTAAGTTATCATTTTAAATTCACTACCGTATTGAGAAAATGAATAGGACTTTTGATTCCGGAACTCGACTGTTGTTGTGCTCTACAAACAGAAACATTTAAATGAATGTTCTGGTGATCTAGAAGATTAAATAAAATGCTGCCAAACCCTTTAGAATGTGTTGAGTTTTCATGCAGAAATGCTGTACAGTAGCCACTTTTCCACCATCAGGCCAAACCGTTGTAATGCTTATCCATTTCATTCCATGCCGAACCGCCCAGCCGGTATGGATTTGGTTTCATTTTCCACTGTGGGCCTGATAACAGAGGTCCAATACAAATTCATCAGTCGTTGCTTTGGTAACGCAAGTGTTTACATACGATATGAGATGTAAATAGCGACCATGTTATGGAGGATGATCAGATATTTCTATTTACTTCAGTCAAATAGTGCACTTGGTCAGCTACAGAGAGAGTCAAGTCAAGTCAAGTCACCTTTATTTATATAGCGCTTTTAACAATACAGATTGTGTCAAAGCAACTGAACAGCATTAATTAGGAAAATAGTGTGTCAATAATGCAAAATGACAATAGTAAACACAAATTTTTCAGTTAAAGACAGTTCATCATTGAATTCAGTGATGTCAACATCCAGCTCAGTTTAAATAGTATCTTTGCAATCAAGTCAACGGTATCGCTGGAAATGAAGTGTCCCCAACTAAGCAAGCCAGAGGCGACAGCGGCAAGGAACCAAAACTCCATCGGTGACAGAATGGAGAATAAACCTTGGGAGAAACCAGGCTCAGTCGGTGGGCCAGTTCTCCTCTGACCAGACAAACCAGCAGAGAGAGAGAGAACTAGTGGGCAGACAACAATCAAGTGACCAATACTGAGTGGAGACATCACCACATTCTACCAGCCAACTGTGCTCAGAATTGCAGGCTGAGAACGGTTTATAATCGTGTTGTGCCAAACCAAGCTCAAGTGGAAATTGCTTACCATTCTTAGAACCGTTCGGTCAGACGGTGGAAAAGTGGCTAAAGTGTGTCAAATGGGACCTGCTTTCTTAATTTTTGTGGATCATGTGGTTAAAGGTCAAACCTTGACTGAGGAAGTATAGGGCACTTTAATGGTCTGCTTGTGCTCTTGAAAGAAGGCCGGAGGTTGAGCTGCAATCTGCCACGGACCTGGAGCAGGCTGAACACCAGCGTCCACAGGCTGACCTGAAATGTTATGCTTTTATTGATTATGAGCCACATTAAACACAGCAAAATTTCCCTTCCTGGCATTTGCATCATCATGGAAAATTTGAATACAGTGCAGGAATACGAAATCAGATTTGTATACATTTTTCAGAGATGTGGTCAAGTGTAAATGAAAGCAAAAGAAAGAGAACGGTTTATAATCGTGTTGTGCCAAACCAAGCTCAAGTGGAAATTGCTTACCATTCTTAGAACCGTTCGGTCAGACGGTGGAAAAGTGGCTAAAGTGTGTCAAATGGGACCTGCTTTCTTAATTTTTGTGGATCGAGTGGTTAAAGGTCAAACCTTGACTGAGGAAGTATATGGCACTTTAATGGTCTGCTTGTGCTCTTGAAAGAAGGCCGGAGGTTGAGCTGCAATCTGCCACGGACCTGGAGTAGGTTGAACACCAGCATCCACAGGCTGACCTGAAATTTTATGCTTTTATTGATTACGAGCCACATTAAATGCAGGAACATTTTCCTTCCTGGCATTTGCATCATGTAAGATTTGAATATAGTGCAGGAATACAAGATCAGATTTGTATCCATTGTAAATGGAAGCAAAAGACAGCATGAAGTGTAAACATGACCTATTTGACTTCTGGGTACCTGTGTAAGGCTCCTGACTCCATTCAGTAGATCTGGACTCCATGAACGTCTCCAAACGATACTGAGAACAGAAGCAGCATTTAGTTCTATCAACCACAAATCACATCAGTTTTTAATATGCATCACCATGTGATGCTTCTGGACACATCATCAGTGATGTTTCCTGGAGTCATCGGGTATTTCGGGTCTTTCAATAATCAGACATCCTCGCCCAGGCGACCCAGTCGGGTTTGATCAAGCCCCAGCTTGTGTCCAGGTAGCACTACCTGGCACTACACCCAAGGCTCTCCTCTCCTGATCCACAGCCAACTTGAAGCAACCTCTGCTGCATCCGTGGCCGACTTAATGCCCCTTTGTATACTGGCCCCTCTGATGCCCAGCATGTTGTAGACCTTGCAAAAAGACTGGGCTGCAAACCCTCTACATCCCACCTCAATGGGCTCTCGCACTTTACTCGCCAGTCGTTTCTTCAGCACTCTACTACCAGCTCTGTGTACTTAGATCTTTTCCTCTCTTTGGCCTCTTCGATACGATCCTCCCAGGGGACTGAGAGTTCTAAGACATGATCTGCTTGGAGGCTTCTGAGATCAGCACCATGTCTGGCCTCAGCGATGCTATGGGAACAGTTTCTGGGAACTTCAGTTGCCTACCCAGGTTGACTTTCAGCTCCCAGTCCTGTGCAGATGTTAGCACACCAGAGGAGGAAGTCCTGGCAGATGTTGTTACCTTCTCTCCAGCCCTATCAATAGTGATGGTCTTCTTCGTTGGGCGTAGGTGCTTACAGTGGGTAATCCAGCTGGAGTTGGTATCTGCTATGACATGGTTCCTCAAATCTTGCTCGAGTTTAGCTCCAACTCTAATCAAACACACCTGAGCAAACTCATCAAGATCTTCAGGATCCCTAGAAAATCACAGGTGACGGAGTTTGATCAGGGTTTGAGCTCAACTCTGCAGGGCAGTGGTCCTCCAGGACCGGATTTAAGGAACCCTGTGCTATGGCCTTCAGAACTTTGTCATGACACCAACGATTGCGCCCCTCACTCAGGGCTCTTAGACAGCTGCTGAGGATGTAATCCAGGGTCTCTTTCTTCAGGCACAGAGGGTAAGCTGGTGACTCTACCTTTTCCCAGCAGAAAAGATTTGACAGGCTTGGTAGAATGTCATAGACTGCCTGGATTAAGAATTTTATTCAGTGGGGCTTAGATTTCCAGAGCTTGGTCCAAGTAACTTTGCGTTCTACTACTTGTTCCCACCTTGTCCAGGCTGCCTGCTGCTGCATCCCATCAATCCTGCTGGCTCGCACTTCCTCAAGCAATGCTCTGACCTCATCCTGGAGCTGCAACCTCCTATCCTTCCTCCTTGCCTTGCCATAGCACGACGCCGTGTTGCTGCTCAGGCCTGCTCTTCCTTGAACCACTTTGCCCACCAGTGCCCTTTGCTTCAGACGTGACTCAGCAACATCCATGGCCTCAGATGCCTTCCATTCAGCCCTGTCCTGACCTCAATCCCTGCCTGAGAGACTTTTGGGTCTGAGGACTCCTAGTATTGCAGCAACTCCCTAGTGCGGGTCACCATGAATTCTTCATTCAGGCTGCTGATGGGGAGTTTCAGCTCGTTGTTTTGCCCGTATAAAGCGATACTGCTTAGGCTTCAGGGTAGTCCTAGACATTTCCGTAAGAACATGCTCATCCTCCTCCACGCCTTAAAATTATATGTCTTAAACATTATATGTAAAAAAAAACACATACCGAAGAAGAAAACGTCATAATGAAGATGATTTAATGTTTTTTAATTTGTAATTTAGGTCTCACCCTGTAGGTATTAAAGGACTCCATATTGGTTATGACTCCCTCTCTGACGGGGGCAGAACTATAGCAGCACTTGCTGGAGACGTACGTTGCGAAAGCTTGACGTGCCCTGTCCTCTGAGATGGAGGGTATACTGATATCAAAGAGAAAATATCAATATGTAAGTGACCTTTGCACATGTCTAACAGGGTGTGTTGTGACATTTTTAGTACCTCCATGACCCTTTTTAGGTGTTTTACTAAACTGACACAACGTATTCAGGTCATAGTGCAGAATAATGGGCTAAAAAGGTGAATCAGCAGAATGCATTTTAGATAAAGCTTTCAAACTTTTTGATGCCAAAACTCTCAAAATATGATGATCCCCTGCAAGGTGAATATAAAAGCAGCTACAGTACATATCTATATATATTGTCTGACAAAATTATAAAGATAACATTTCTTTGCTAAGTTTTTACTGTACTGAAGTTAAAGCCAATTATTTAAAAAAAATCATTTTGTTTTTAAAAGCATTATTTTCTAAATTATTTAAATAAAAATTAAAAATTAATTTATTTGTATAGTAAATACATAATGTTCTGGAGCATAAATATATTGTCATAATTTCACATTGAACCTCCAAATTAATGTAGAAACAACCTAACGGTGGTATATTTTAAATGTTTAATGGCTTCTCTTTACAAAGTAGCCTATTAACAAAGGCCAGTATTTTTGATACCAATACTGCTACTGATGTCTCTATTAAATGCATTTTCACCTCAATTTTAGCCATTAATTTAGCATATTTAGAAAAAACAAGTGATTTATACACTTTTTAATGTTATATGTTTGTAATATTGGCATTTTATTGTTGTATTACAAATTTTTTTGTTGTTTTTTTTTTATCATCCAATATGTTGAAGAGACACTGCCTCCCTTGCCTCCTCGGAAGAAGTGCCCCAAATGCTGTGCTTTGTTTTAAAGTGTTTTATTGTATTTTTATATAACAGCACAGTCCCTCTGTCAGAGACAATCTCACAGTGGAGGACTGGCTTTAATGGAAACATTCTCTCTCCAGCTCTCATTAACAGTGTGAAGGAGAGAGCAGAATACAAGTACAACAGAACAAGAAAAGAAAACTGTTAAAAATAAGACTCACCTTCTCCAGAAGACATGGCTACTCTCTGTGTGTCACGGTAAGGAATGGAAAACTGGTAATGTAAATCATAATAAAGCATTATAACCCAAGAGTTCTTACTTATTTAGCGCTTAAAGCAACTGTATGTAATTCGGTGTATTGTGAGTGGAATTCACTGATGTATATATATCACTGTAATAATTACAGTGGATATCTGTACACGTGAATTTGTTGCTGCTGAAAAGCAATTTGCCCTTTTCTCTGAATTTCGTAAACGCTCACCAAACTTGAAAGCGTTCCACTTGTTTATGCACTTTTCTGATATACGTCATTGTTTCATAAGTGCCCACTACCTTGCAGGGGTGTGTCCAGGAGTCTATATTTTGGGGTGGCAAGGGGGGGCAGGAGCAGAATGAGGGGCGACACTAGGCCTGCCTCACATGTACACAGTTGTACATTTGCTGAGGATTATGCAAGATCAGTGTTGTCACCTTCCTGTACTCTATTCCCTAACTCACATTTGAGTTAAGCAGTTTTGGAGGGTTGGAGGGTTTTATTTTTTAATTTTTTGCCTCAAAAATATGCATATTTTATACATATTTACACAAAATTAGAACAGTAAATGTAAAACTTCACTCTAAAGAATAACCTTTTTTATTTACCAGTGGTAGATGGCTGCAGAGGATCAATAAACCGTTTCCAATACAGTTATCTTCATGTTTTGCTTTTGGATTTATATTAAGACATTAGAAAATCACTAATATAACATAAAAAAAAAATCACTTTTTGTCAAAGTTCAGCACTGTTTTGAACTGAAGTATGAAACGTTTTCAAAAAATGCATCGCATGCATGAATCACACAAATGACCTATTCTGAATTAAAAATGGCGATTTTCGGCAAAATGTGGCTAGTTGAAGTGTCCTCAGTTTAATGCTTTTTTTTGTGTCTTTTTCTGTTCTGCACCCCAGAACGTTTCCCTCCTCTATTCATTTTGTATAGGATATGACTGTCTGTGACAATGTCGAAGGGTGAACTCATTTAAAATGCTAAACAAATGTTAAACAAACAAACAAACAAAAAAACAACTTTCTCCTTTGTTTATTTTTAACCAATAGACTTTTGATTATTTATTTTATTAAAGAAGATTTTCACCGAATGATTGCTGCAAAATGTAAGAACGTAATAGCCTTTGAGCAGATCTAATAATATTAAGAAAAAAATGAATGTGTCGTGTCGTTATTTTCTTTTCTTTAAGTAGGTTAGGTGGGTATTAAACGATTTGCCAATCTTATTTGTCAGTATTAAAAAGTTAAATCTGTCATTTTTGCAGCACAAATTTTGCTTGGAAGGATGAAAATAACTACATTTTCATCAGTTATTTTATCAGTCATTAAGTCAGATAGGGTACAGATAGAAGCACAGTAAGATTACTAATAGTGAAGTTTTAATTAGTTAAAAATAAATATATATTTTTTCCACAACATTTTTGTTTCCAAGCAAATTTATTGATAAATCACAGGACAGAGTTGACAATAAGTTTTTGTTTCTGTGTGATCTGTACGTTCTCCGATCTGTACGCTGCCCCTCTCCTCACTCTGCTCTCATTGCATTCCGATCTTATTACTCTGCTTTGGGGTGGCAAGGTGCCAAGCTCATTTTTAGGGTGGCAGTTATCACCCCATGCCACCCTTGTGGACACACCCCTGAATGCTTGCAATGGATTTAACCCTCATAATGCTGTCAAAATCTGCATACAATTTTATGCTAATTACTGTTTTTGTTTAATCTGTATACTAAATCAGAAGATGCATGAGAAGCAAAAAAAAAAAAGAAAAAGATTCCAATTAAAATCTTTAAAGAACCCAGAAACCAAATCACTGATCTGAAGAACATTAAGAGCCATACAACCACTAAATAAATAAATAAATAAATGCATACATACTTACATGCAAACATACATAAAAAAGGTTTATTTGCAAATCCTCTGACTTTCCTCTCACTTCAGCTCCTCCCGGCTTTCTTAAGGATAGTGCTTTGTCGCCTCTGGCTTGCTTAGTTGGGGACACTTCATTTCCAGCGATACCGTTGACTTGATTGCAAAGATACTATTTAAACTGAGCTGGATGTTGACATCACTGAATTCAATGATGAACTGTCTTTAACTGAAAAATTTGTGTTTACTATTGTCATTTTGCATTATTGACACACTATTTTCCTAATTAATGCTGGTCAGTTGCTTTGACACAATCTGTATTGTTAAAAGCGCTATATAAATAAAGGTGACTTGACTTGACTTGACCATGTGATGCTTCTGGACACATAATCAGTGATGTTTCCTGGGGTCATCTGGTGTTTCGGGTCTTTCAATAATCAGACACCCTCGCCCAGGTGAACCAGTCGGGCTTAATCAAGCCCCAACTTGTGTCCAGGTAGCACTACCCCACCGAAGGCTCTCCTCTCCTGATCCACAGCCAACTTGCTGGAGTTGGTATCTGAGTTTGATCAGGGTTTGAGCTAAACTCTACAGGGCAGTGGTCCTCCAGGACCGGATTTGAGGAATCCTGTGCTATGCTCTTCAGAACTTTGTCATGACACCTACGATAGCGCCCCTCACTCAGGGCTCTTAGACAGCTGCTGAGGATGTAATCCAGGGTCTCCTTCTTCAGGTACAGAGGGTAAGCTGGTGACTCTATCTTCTCCAAGCAGAAAAGATTGGACAGGCTTGGTAGAATGTCATAGACAGCCTGGATTCAGATTTTTATTCAGTGGGGCAGATTAGATTTCCAGAGCTTGGCCCAAGTAACTTTGCGTTCTACTACTTGTTCCCACCTTGTCCAGGCTCCCTGCTGCTGCATCCCATCAATCCTGCTGGCTCGCACTTCCTCAAGCAATGCTCTGACCTCATCCTGGAGCTGCGACGTCATATCCTTCCTCCTTGCCTTGCCATAGCACGACGCCGTGTTGCTGCTCAGGCCTGCTCTTCCTTGAACCACTGTGCCCACCAGTGCCCTTTGCTTCAGACGTGACTCAGCAACATCCATGGCCTCAGATGCCTTCCATTTCAGCCCTGTCCTGACCTCAATCCCTGCCTGAGAGACGTTTGGGTCTGAGGACTCCTAGTACTGCAGCAACTCCCTAGTGCGGGTCACCATGAATTCTTCATTCAGGCTGCTGATGGGGAGTTTCAGCTCGTTGTTTTGCCCGTATAAAGCGATACTGCTTAGGCTTCAGGGTAGTCCAAACCATTTCCGTAAGAACCTGCTCATCCTCCTCCACGCCTTAAAATTATATGTCTTATATATTATATGTAAAAAAACACATACCAAAGAAGACAATGATGGTCATAATGAAGATTATTTATTGTAGGTCTCACCCTGTAGGTATTAAAGGACTCCATATTGGTTATGACTCCCTCTCTGACGGGGGCAGAACTATAGCAGCACTTGCTGGAGACGTACGTTGCGAAAGCTTGACGTGCCCTGTCCTCTGAGATGGAGGGTATACTGATATCAAAGAGAAAATATCAATATGTAAGTGACCTTTGCACATGTCTAACAGGGTGTGTTGTGACATTTTTAGTACCTCCATGACCCTTTTTAGGTGTTTTACTAAACTGACACAACGTATTCAGGTCATAGTGCAGAATAATGGGCTAAAAAGGTAAATCAGCAGAATGCATTTTAGATAAAGCTTTCAAACTTTTTGATGCCGAAAACCTCAAAATATGATGATCCCCTGCAAGGTGAATATAAAAGCAGCTACAGTACATACCTATATATATACTGACTGACAACATTATAAAGACAACATTTCTTTGCTAAGTTTTTCTGTACTGAAGTTAAAGCCAATTATTTAAAAATACTGTTATTTAAATGAAGAATGCCCATCTGTCACACTTTGCTTATGGGAGGAACGAGGAGACGAGGAGACATGGAGATTTCACAAAACAAGAGTCTTTAATAATCCAACAGGGAGACACAGAGCACAAGGAAGACATAAAAGACCCGACAAGGAAACATGATTAGGCAGACTACACATTTATAAACTTAACGAGGGACAGACAGGTGCGGGGAATCAACTAATAATGAGACAACGAGAACAGGAACATGACCAAATAAGGGAACACTGAAACAGAAACAGGAGCAAAACAGGTCCATAATCCTGACACCATCGGTAACACTTTAAAATGACTTTCATTAATAAAACATTAACAAACATTATATAATGTTTAACTAATCATTACTTAATATATATTGACATATCTAGAAATATGACATAATGTGCTTGTTAATGTTAACTAATGAACTTATTAAACATTAAATAATGATCTGTTAATCATTTGGTAATGTAAATTGAAATGGTTACAAATGTCATTAAACTTTCAATTCATATGATCATGCATTTTTATTTTTAATCTTCAAATGATTTTGACAGATGGTTTACAATGATTAATAATAATATACAAACATTATATAATGCTTAACGGATAATTAGTTAATGTTTACAAATGTCATTAAACTTTCAATGCATTTTAAAAATCTACAAATGATTTTAACAGAAATTATACAATATTTACAAGCTTACTTGTTAATGTATTTTTGAATGCTTACAAATGTCATTAAACTCCAGTTCACATATTAGCTAATGCTCATTTTTACATTTACAAATGTTGTGAAAATATAGCTAAAGTGCACTATCCAAACTTAAATTGTTGTAATTTATGAACACTTTGGAATACAGACCTAAGGTTGGTCTCTTTTTAAAGAAGAAAAAAGCAGATTATTGCAAAAGTGGAATCTTTTCAAAAAATTACATTTACTGTAAATAAAATGCACTATATTAATTTTATTTTATTTTATATATAATAAATATTTTACATAACATGTTTACTCTGAAATTGGTACATAAATTGGAAAATTTGGAACATAACTTAGTTAGACATAAGGCTTTAATTTTATTAAAGCCTTATGTCTAACTAAGTTATGTTCCAAATTTGAAGTTGATATGAAAAAAATTGAGGTTCCTGTGAGATTTTATTTAGGGCGTTATACCACAAAGAGCCCCCGGGTTTCATCCAAACTCCATTGAATTTTTTTAATGCATTTTTCTGTCACAAATGTCTAGATTTCTCTGTCAATATTACTTCTCAAAAAATTTAAATCTCAAAATAACTAAATCCTGAGACTCAGACCTTTCCAATGATATGTTTTTTGTCAAGATCATAAAAAGGTTTGATTCTAAAAGACCATAATGCATTTTGCAATATGACACTTGACACTGCCCACTAAGGGGGAGGAGACCGCCAAAAGATTTTAAAGTACCATTTCCATGTAAGGCAATGTCCGATTTCAAAATGGTTTTCACAGGATGAATCTTGGGCTTCTAAGCTTTCAAATGATATATAATTTATGATGATTAAAATTCAACGCCAAGTGTCTTTTTGGGGACGGTGACAGTTAAGGGGTTAATAAGCACTTCACAAACTATTCATGTTAATATATTCATCATTAACTCATAATCACAGTCTGTAAAGGTCATATATTTGGTCTTTTTTTGTTGTGTAGACTTCTACTATTTGCACATTCATTTATCAAAACAATGCAATATAAACAGATTGAATCGTGTTCCCTTATAGTAATCAAATTGACCCCTGTACACTTGTTGACCCCTTACCCAACCCTTAAACCTACCCATACACCAAACCTGTCCCTAACCCTACCTGTATCACACCTCAGTAACAGCAAAAGGGTTGTACATTAACAAAAGCTTTTAATCATTGTATAACATCTGTTAAAATCATTTGTAGATTTTCAAGATGTACATGATAGAAGTTTAACGACATTTGTAAGCATTTTAATTTACATGAAATGTTAAATGTTAACCATTATTAGGTAATGTTTAATACATTTATTAGTAAACATTATCAAGCACATTATTTCACGTTTCTAGATATGTGAATATATATGAACTAATGATACGTTAAGCATTACATAATGTTTGTTAATGATTTTTTAATGAAAGTTATTATAAAGTGTTACCTGCCCATCTTTGTATGAACATTGCATATCATAGGTGTGTGTTTACGATTAAATGTGTGCATTGAGTGCTTTTTGTATAGAGAAAAAGCTCTTACTGCCAGTCTGGTGGGCTGGGGGCCTGTTCAGGCACAGGCATCGGTACAGATGGCATTGGAGGTGGAAGATACCCACCTGTGAAAACAGAGACAACACTAGCAACAAAACTAGGAGGCTCATTCATGTATTTCTGTGCTCTAAACACTATAAGGTCTATTGTTGCATTCAAGTCCTTCTGGAAAATTTGTATTTACAACGTCAGGTGCGTTCAAATCGTTTTGTCGGACCAAGATGGCAATGTACATTTTGTACATAAAATTCAACATGGTTTTTTAACTCCGCATCTACAAAATGATGAAAAGAGAATGTGCATCTGTGTGTTTTTGCTTTTATATGTTTTTATAAAATTTATGAAGGTGCTGTAAATTTAATTGTTATATATTCTATGGTAATTGTACAATACTATGGTATTTTGTACATGCAACTCTATTCAGAAACTTGGGGCTTAAAGAAAAGTTTCCCACTTGTAATTAGCCTACTATTTTGTGGTGACGTTTATGTGCTTTCAACTTGTAAATATGATCTATCCGACATGACTTGAATGCACCATATGAGCCCGAGCACATTTTCTCATGCTGAAGCTTTTTGTTTAGCTTCTTTGGTGTTTGATATAACTTGCATGCCTCTTACCGCCTCCGCCAGCCACTGTTCCTTCATATCCAGGGACGGTATCGAACATGTTTGCTGGGGGTCCGTGCATGCTTGTTGCGGGTGCGGCCGCCGTGGCTGAATGAGATTCAAACAAACCCGTTAGGCAAGTTTTCGGTAACACTTTTTAATAACTTTCAATGAATAAATCATTAACAAACATTATTTAATGCTTACGGATCGTTACTTAATATATATTCACATATCTATAGAAACGTGAAATAATGTGCTTGTTAATGTTTACTAATTAATGTTTTAAACATTGCCTAAAAATTAACATTTCATGTAAATAAAAAGCATTCAAATGTCGTTAAACTTCTAATTCATATGATCATGTACATCTTGAAAATCTACAAATGATTTTAACAGATGTTATACAATGATTAAAAGCTTTTGTTAATGCACAACACTTTTGCTGTTATTGAGGTGTGATACAGGTAGGGTTAGGGACAGGTTTGGTGTATGGGTACACTGTAAAAAATTATTGTGATTTTAACAGTAAAAGACTGTAAAAAGGCTACAATAAAAACCTGTTAATTGGTTATCAGTAAGTTAAGTTAAGTCTGTAAAACCTAAAATGTTTCTACCATATTTTTAACGGTGAAGTTCTGGCAACCACAGCTGCCAGTATTTTACCATAAATGTCACAGATTGATTTTTACAGTGTAGGTTTAAGGGTTGGGTAAGGGGTCAACAAGTGTACAGGGGCCAATTTGATTACTATAAGGGAACACGATTCAATCTGTTTATATTGTTTTGATAAATAATAAATGAAGTATTTTCTTGAAAATTTGTTTTTTTCCCCCTTCTGATGATGTATGACTCAAGGAATATTCTGTTTAATGATACACAATAGTACACTAATATAAGTGTTGAGGTGATAAAAACATGTTTTTCACCCAAATTACAATGTGTGTTATGTCTTTACCAAGCATTTAGCTAAACTTAACTAACCACCCTTTACACAAACGTTGTTAAAGTAGCTAAAAGTCCAGTGCCAATAAAGATACTAAAAAATGTGTAAATGTTTATAAACATTTACAAATTATGAATAGTCTCCACGTTAGATTGGGTACTGCAAAAACATGAACAAATGATTTGTAAAGATGTGAAAATAGGGTAAATTCCGGTCATGAATAGTTTGTGAAGTGCTTAAAATGATTAATTAAGCTATATTTTCACATTTGTAAATGTAAAAATGAGCATTAGCTAATATGTGAAGTAAGTTTAATGACACTTGTAAGCATTCAAAAATACATTAACAAGTAAGATTGTAAATATTGTATAATTTCAGTTAAAATCATTTGTAGATTTTTAAAACGCATTGAATGTAGAATGACATTTGTAAACATTAACTAATTATCCGTTAAGCATTATATAATGTTTGTTAATGATTTATTAATGAAGCTTTTAGTCATTGTAAACAATCTGACAAAATCATTTGAAGATTTAAAAAAAAATACATGATCATATGAATTAAATGTTTAATGACATTTGTAAGCATTTCAATTTACATGAAATAATGATCTGTTAATCATTTGGTAATGTTTAATAAGTTCATTAGTTAACATTAACAAGCACATTATCTCGATATGTGAATATATATTAAGTAATGATTAGTTAAACATTATGTAATGTTTATTAATGATTTATTAATGAAAGTTATTATAAAGTGTTACCAAATTTTCCACTGGATGTGCACCAAGAAAGACATATAGTAACCATTAATAACATTCAGTTTCAAATATCACAAAAATGTCACTATACGTTCAAATTTATTTATTTATTGCACAGCTTCTGAAATACTGATTGTGATTTATGATTGGTCAATCCCAGCGGCCTGTGTTGAAATACCTTTGTGAAAAATCCATACAGCCTATAAATAACCAGTTATTATAAATCTTCAGCTGCTTAGTCAAAATAAAAAAGCTATTGATTCCACTTATTCTTGAGAAGTGGGAGGGTGCAAAATTGAAAAAATAAAACTTTGTACACAGACAAATTAAACTACATTTATGTATCTTATATGCACTAAGCTACTGAGCTATGCTTTGATTCAACCTCCCAATTTTTATATTTTTTAACAAAATGTGCTTATTTTAGCTTGGACTGTGTAATATAATTTCAGCTTTATCTTTAACAGCAATCAAGATGTTTTTAACATTTCAAAACACATTCTCGTGTTAGCAGACAGATTACACTTTCACATGTGACCAACAATTCCACAACAAATATAAAATATCATAATCAAATATTATCAAAATATTCAACTGACGGAGTTGACACATCTGACGGTGGTGACGAAAACCTGAATTTGTAGTCATTTTAACTATCAAATACATTGAATTACTGTATTAAAACAAACACAACAAACAGTAAGTATGTTATTGTTTATAAAGCTTTTATTCAAGAGTCACATTTAAGTATTTTGATATATCATTGGAACACAAAATCTTATGGTGGTGACATCTGACGGTGTTGACAAATTTGGCATTTCTTTCACAAAACCAATGGAGTTCATGTAGTAGCCATTTTATTTTTTCTGTTGATGCTAGATGCTAATGGAAGCTGCTTCAGCAGAATAAAATGATCTAAATATTTCAAATAATTTCCTCAGAAATTGGAAGATGGTGTTGACATATCATGGCTGTGACACAGGAAATATTAATATTAAGATTTAAAATATTCTAAAACCATAAAACTTACCAGAGCCTGCCTGACACTGATGTACTCTGCATTTATTTTATTAAATGTCTGACGGTGTTGACAAAAAGTGGGGACACAACTTTGAAACCTTATGAAACATGCATGTGTCATTAAAAAACAACCTTGCTTTGATATGAGATATTATTAAGTGTTGCTTTTGATAAAACAAGCTCTTTTTCATCATTAAAAAACATTTTTATTTATTTTAGAGCATATGAATGATTGAACCCTTCTCTGTGGACACATTGTTTTAGACGTAGTGAGAAGACAATAAGTGAGATAGATTTCACATAATAATGATAAAATTAAATTGAAAGGGGGTAATTGTGATACATACATTCTATTATTAATCCCCCATAACATTTGCAATTGAAAATATTTTTATTTTTAAACCAAATAGCAGTTACAATTGCTGGACATGTTTTGTCCCATGTCTCAAGAATGACTGATTCACCAAGCAATAGTTAGGAACATACTTTTTAGATCTTGAAGAACTGATTGTCGTTCTTGGTAAGACTCCTGAAGTCAGTAGTGAGCAGTGTGCGCTCTAATGCCTATGGATTTAATTCTACTGTATTTATGGTTTAGGAATGTATAGCAGCCTAGGCTATATATAGTCCGACAGCCGCTGCTATTGGATGGAGCTGAATGGACGAGTGGGTGGAGTTGTTTCTACAATAAGTAACACTGTTTTTCACCGATTTATTCAGTGAATTCTACCAAGGTTTTGGACATTTACCACAGTAGGAAGTACCGGTGTTATGGATCAACAGGGGGTCGTGTTAACTGGGGGGACGTGAGCTCTTTTATTTCACTTTCCAGCAGATTCGTCAGATGCAAACTATGGAGCTGCAAAGAAAACACGTTTGGTACATTCTTAATGTTCTTAATAAATGTTGATACAACTATTAGACTGTGATTTTTTTCCTCAATGACTGTGCTAATGTATTCAACACAGTTTTAGTGTCATTTTAACAGTTTCACATAGTAGCCTAACAGGGTTCACAAACCCCGCCCCCGTTATCTTGAGACGTTCACTTAAGTGGAAAATGACCATTGCTCAAACAAACGCATTATATTTCAAGTGTAATACACTTATTTGCAACGATCATGTTTCGAATATTGTAACAATGCAATCTGTTGAGAAAACAAGCATGCTGTGGGATAACGCACAAAACAAAAAAAAACTTAAAATCTTTATCTAAAATCTTTCTCAGTGTGTCCATAAAATACAGAAGCGTCCCAAACAGAATCGCGTTCTGTGTCAAATATCTTAAACCGAAGCAGCAGAGAAAGCTTACATATTTATTTCAGATGGGGTGTCAATGTTAAAATATGTAAACTAAACACGTCTTTCACTTGAGTGCAGCCAGAGCCATGAGAAACAGAGTTGCGACACTCCCTTTGGCTGCCATAGGAACTGAGGAATGCGGAAGTAAAGCGTGTCATGGAGCAGCCAATAGAGACAGAGTGACACGCATCATAATCTGAAAACCACGCCAAACAAAACAATCCAACGCTCTCCGTTGATTTTCTATTCCGGGAAGTTGCCTTCTTGTCATTTCTGATTTATAACAAAAAACAGAGCAATGCCTAAAAGCTGCTATGAGACAAGGTGTACAGTAAACAAGCTAAAAAAAAAACTAAATTTTTATAAACTGTCGACCCAAAAAACCATGTCAGTTTCGGTTGAAAATATTTTAAGTTCAAGTGTTAGCATTATAAACACTGAATTAATACCAACATATGAAATAAAATTAATGACAGAAAAATTAGGAATGTTGGACAATATATAACAGGAATATAACAGCTTGACAGTAAACTGTTTTTGCAGTATCGTCTTATATTAATGTCCGTTAAAGGAAGACTGCAAAAAAAAAAAAAAATGTATGTAAAAAAAAAAAAAAAACACTTTCTCCAAAATTGTTTAATTATTTAATTATGACACAGACACGGCAATGCATCATGTTCTAATCTAGATCATCATGTTTGTAGTTTGTTCCAGGGGATTAAAACGTACAATTTATATTTCAGACCTAGTGGAGCAATAGTAAATAATAATATAGTAAGTAATTGTAAATGTGTAAAGTTTCATAAGCTCATTACGTAGTGTCATATCCATATAAATCTATAGAGTTTGTGCTCTGCGTTTAACCCATCCAAGTGCGCACACACAGTAGTGAACACACACACACCCGGAGCAGTGTGTTCCAGGAAGAAGACAAACACAAATGTATGCAATCTGTTATGACTAGATGCTAAGGACATTTCCAATTTTTGTGCAAATACTGCCACTGACGTGGATGTATGGGTTCATATTATTGACCCAAATATTTTAATAAATAATAAATTACTCAGATTCATAATGTTATTTATTTGTTTTTGTTTTTTTATTTCTTGTTTACTCAGACAGTCCCTTGTCAATAATGTTAAATAAAGAATGTATTAAATAAAATATATAAACTATTGATATTTTATCATTAATTTGCATATTTAATGTACTGTAAATAGACTTTGCATGCCTGGAATTATAAAGTCTGCAAATTTCATAAATGTATTATATTTAAGTTGATCCATAACACCGGAGTGCAATTGTAAATTTCGAGAGTACCATTTTTTTTGTAAATACTGTATAGTAAGGATAACTACCTACGGTATTTTTGCAGATACCCTACTTGCATTGCCATTGTACATTTTTATAGAACAAGTACTGCATACTAATTCTAATATTAATAAAAAATATTAATACTGCATACTAACTGTACTATGCACAAAGCGATACATGCCTATGTAAAAATTTAGCGTTGTTTTGAATACCGTTAAGCAGAAACTTGGTACTAATTTAGCGTTGAAAAAGTAGTCATGGGGTGCCGTCCTGTGGAAATCTGAGATTGTGTAAATTTCACAACAAACTCTTACCTGGTGCTGGTATTCCATAGACCGGGTTAACGATGCCGTGGTTAGCTCCATAGTCACTTCAGAGGAAGTTAATGAAGTCAGCTTGTGCATTTTTCAAAACACAAACAATGTAAATATCGGTCATGACGACTTTTTTTTTTTTTTTTACTTACCTCATAGTCAGTCTCTCCATTTTGCAAACGGAGTGAGAACTAAAAGATTTCGATAAAGTTGGCAAGATATTCACAGATTCGACTTTTCCGGATTAATAACTCACGAGCAAAATGTTTTTACTACTCAATTAACGCCTCTTTTCTTTCTTAGTGATGTAGAAAACGAGCTACAAGCGAGTTTTCATCAAAACAAGCTTTCCTCCGCTCTGTACAAAATACATTGGAGAGTCCGAAGAGACCGTCTGCAAAATGCGAAACGCGAAGAATGTTACTAATAAAATACTCAATAACTTCACAGTTAACACACTGTAGTGTCACCAAATTCAGTTTACACATCACTACTCTCCTGCTGGTTATACTACAACAGTTATTTTGGAAAATAATTGCTTTTACACATTTGTATGATTTACATTTAAAAAAAAAAAAAGTAATTACCTTCATTGTTATTGGACAAAATAATCAATAACATCACTGTAACACAATGTACTTTCTCCAAATTCAGTTCACACTTCACTGCTCTCCTGCTGGTTATACTACAACAGTTATTTTGGAAAATAATTGCTTTTACACATTTTTATGATTTACATTTTTTTTTTTAAATAGTCATTACCTTCATTGTTATTGGACAAAATAATCAATAACATCACTGTAACACAATGTACTTTCTCCAAATTCAGTTCACACATCACTGCTCTTCTGCTGGTTTTACTACAACACTTATTTTGACAATAATTGCTTTTGAAGGATTTTCATGATTTTTAAAAAAATATTTAATAAATTCACTGTTATTGGACAAAATAATCAATAACTTCACTGTAACACACTGTACTTTCTCCAAATTCAGTTCACACATCGCTGCTCGCCTGCTGGTTTTACTACAACAATTATTTTGAAAATAATTGCTTTTGCATATTTTTTATGATTATTTCAAATGAAAAATAGTCATTACCTTCATTGTTATTGGACAAAATAGTCAATAACTTCACTGTAACACACTGTACTTTCTCAAAATTCAGTTCACACTTCACTGCTCTCCTGTTGGTTTTACCACAACAATTATTTTGAAAAGAATTGCTTTTGCATATTTTTTATGATTATTTAAAATGAAACTGCTTTTGCTTTTGGATGAACGCGTCTGCTGCATGAACAAGTGTAAAAGGTGTACATTGTACAGTGTGTTACAATGAATTTATTGACTATTGACTATTTGTCATAATAAAAAATCATAAAAAATGTGTAAATCTGTTTTAGTATAACCAGCAGGAAAGCAGTGGTGTGTAAACTGAATTTGGTGACACTACAGTGTGTTACTGTGAAGTTATTAAGTATTAATTAGTAACATTATTAGTAACATTTTTCGTGTTTCACACTTTGCAGACGGTCCCTTCGGACTTGTCTCTCAGACGCCAGCGCATTGATATCAATGTGTTTTGTACAGAGCGGAGGAAAGCTTGTTTTGAGGAAAACTCGTTTGTAGCTCATTTTCTACATCACTACGAAAGAAAAGAGGCGTCAATTGTGTAGTAAAACATTTTGCTCATGAGTTATTGATCCGGAAAAGTCGAATCTGCGAATATCTTTACAACTTTACCGAACTGTAAAAGTTAGAGTTCCTGAACAGATTCCTTATGCTGTAATCAGAGGGGCGTAAATTTCGTCTAACAGTTGGAGGAGACAATAAACATAAAATTTCTCAAGTGCAATTTTTGAAGGGGACACAAAATAATACAGCTAAAATTGTACTTGTAAGGATAGGTATACACAGAGGAAAGCCTTAGGCTACTACTGTTAGTGCAGCAGGGAGACCGTGCCAAATTAGACAACTTCAAGCTGTTTACCGTGTCTGTTGTAGACATTATTACTAACCGTCACAGTGTTGCCAAGTCCACGGTTTTCCCGTGGAATTGGGCTACTTTATCACTGTTGCCGCCACTTGTTTTTCATGTCCGCGGGTTGAAGCGACCCCAATAAGGTGTATTTTAGCCCCCAGAAGGCGATTTTTACCAAGGGACCTGCTCGAAACGCGGATAGTTTGGGCTAGTTTCGAGTAGCAATTGGGCGGATTTTTGGGGGGGCAGATGCATTGTTTGGATTATTTGTCACGATATGGCATAAATTGTCACAATGTGAAACTGTTTATCAGCTTTTGGCAGTAAAAAGTAACAGTAAATCTATTATGAAACACAATGATTAATGAAATAGCAAATATGGAACAAATAGGTAACGATTAACAATAAGCTCCCACCCAACAAACACAGAACGTTGCCTCAACGTAGCCAACCTTTTAGCAACGTTGTAACAACATGGCTAAAAGGTTGTTGGTTCTACGTTGTGTCGTTGAGGTTGTTACTGCGTTGTCACAATGTTGCCATTCAATCACGGTTCAGGGCCATTGCTGAAGGTTGTGCTTAGCCTGTCTGGACAACCACTGGACGACACGTACTCGTCACTGTTCCGAAGCGCATTTTAAATTTCAACAGACCGTTGGGCCGTTATTCTTCTTCAAGCCAGGATACGTGAGTATTGCGTATGATTTCTCTTTTAGATAAATAAGACATGTAAATATCCAAACAAAACCTACAATTTTCGTGTCCAATGTGAGATTTATTTGTTCTGTTAATAAACTGAATGGACAGAATAGCTGATAATTCACATACCGAGTGTTAGTTTGCGATCGGGTTTGGTGTAGGCTACTTACTGCTAACTATATTTCTTGCAGTATTCAGATATAGTTACTGATATTTAGGAAAAAGCGTTAAACAGTCATTTGTTTGTGGTGCTGACAATGGCAAATCCAGGCCTGTGTAGCAGGTCACATTATGCACATAATGTAACAACAAAATCTGCCTTATTATTAGTATTAATAAATATAAAATTATTATTAATTACTATTAAATACTTAGTATTTGAAAAAGTATTGCATATTTATCTTGTGTTTGATTATTAAGAGATTCACCACAAAAAAAATAAAAATAAAATAAGATGCAGAAAAGGTAATATTTATAATCTGGCATAAAAATAAATGTGGTCGGAACGTCGTCTCGCAGTTGCTGAATGTCGCGTAACAACGTTGCTACAGCCCTTTCGCGTCTTACAATTCAACGTTGCTACAATGTCGGGAGCACGTAGACAGCAACGTTGCCACAGTAAAAATGGAACGTGGCAGCGACGTTGACACAACGTAAATGTGTTTGTTGGGCATTAGTTAATGTTAGTTAAGTCATTAACTAAGTAACAATTAAGTAACAATGAGCAATACATTTGTTAAAGAATTTATTAATCTGTAAGATTAGCTGCAACTGTTCATTGTTAGTTCATGTTAGCTCCAGTAGCCTAAATGATATTCAATTCAATTCAAATTTGTATAGCGCTTTTCACGATACAAATCGTTGCAAAGCAACTTTACAGCAAATTAAGTTTCTACAATGTTGAGATATATAGTTGAGTATCATCGGCATAACAGTGGAAACTAATCCCGTATTTTTTAATAATATTACCAAGGGGTAACATGTATATCGAAAATAGCAGAGGACCTAGGACAGAGCCTTGTGGCACTCCATATTTTACTGGTGATAATTGAGATGACTCCCCATTTAAATGAACAAAGTGGTAGCGATCGGACAGGTAAGATCTAAACCAAATTATATGAACGGGTACAACTTTAGATTTTTATAATGTATTAATAATTTTTTTCATGAACGTTGAATATTCAAGCAACAGCTGAAAACTGTGTTTTCCATCAACATTTGACTGCATGGTAAAGAACATTGTTTTAGGGTTAAAGGTAAGACATAAGAGAAGGTGCATAAGGTGAGTGTGTGCTGATGTTTGTACAGGTAAAGGGTGAATTGTATGTGCAGGTGCTGTGTACTTCATGAACAGTCATGCTGAAGTTATTATGTGTGTCATTTTTTTTTTCTTGGCTGTGTGGGTCTGAGAAATGAATGCAAGATCTGTTGTCCTATGTCAGCTAAAGTGACCTGCAAAACAGTGTTCAGCCACATGGTGGCTGTATAGTTTAAAATTACTTCAAATAATCTGCAGTCCTTTACAGTGAACCACCCCAGTATTTGTACTTTATTAATTTCACCGCATTAGATTACAGATTATCAGTTATTTTGAATTTCTATTAATCATTTCACGCTTTATTTGCTTAAAATGTGATATATTTCTTAAAAATAAATTCACGTTGGTTAGGTGTATTATTATATGTGCTCATAAACTGAAATGTGAGCACATATAATAATATATATAATACCAGTCAACATTTTTAAATAATTAAGATATTTTTTAAATGTCTTTAGTCTCTTATGCTCACCAAGGCTGCATTTATTTGATCAAAATGCAGTAAATATTGTGAAATATTATTACAATTTTAAAGGACAGTTGTCTCTTTGAATATTTTAGTAATATTTCAGCATATTTCTTAGCAAAAAAGATTAAATTTTAAAAATGATTATATTATCATATCACATTACAAGGATTTCTGAAGGATCATGTGACACTGAAGACTGGAGTAATGATGCTGAAAATTCAGCTTTGCAGTTATTAAACGCTCAGTGTGGTGTATTGACTGTATATTATGTGTTGTGTGTCATGTTGCTGGGGAGGAGCTTTTTTATTTTGGGTGTTACAGTATACCAGAGAAGAATGTGTGGTACAGTATGTGTTGATGGGTTAGACAGGTGTTCGTCTCAGGCACATGCGGCTGTCAAGACAAAAGTCTAGTAGTGGGTGAAATAGCCCCACCAACCCCCAAAAATGAAATCTGAGAGCAGATTTGCACAGACTTGCTCTTAGTTTGTCCCTTTAAAGGCTAGTAAAGTGTATGGCTTTCATTCTGTGCATAAAATAGTAAAAGCCAGTTTTAACAAGATTACAACATGAGGAATAGATGCATATATTTGATTCTAAAGTGCACAAAATGCTGTTTATGTAAGGGATAATGTTCTGTCATGATATCTTAATTAAAATCTGACAAGGGGGAACAGGATATTTTATCCTTTATTTTGTAGTAGCAATGTTGAAAATGTTTATGAAATATTGATTATTATATTATGTATGAAGAAAGAGAGCACATATACACTGTATGTCAGTTAAATATGACAACAGTCAATTATACAAATTAGTAGTCATTATATCAAATTATTTAACGTCAGAATGCCACCATTGTCCAATCAGAATCAAGCATTCCAGATAGTTGCGTAGGAA